TATCACTGGGTCCTGAAGGAAATCACCATTGTGTCTCTCTGGACTCTTCCAAATAAACAGCTTGTGTGGAGAGTGGAGACGGTCGCTTAGGAGGTGTAGATGAGGTGGCAGTGAGAAGAAGGAAAAATCTTTTGCCAGTCACTTTGAAGTAAAACGTGGGCAGAGCGTGGCGGCACCCTGGCACTGTAGCATCTTATCAGAGTAAGACACACATACATGCAGGGAAATAGGCCGATCACAGTCAGAGTTTCTCACCTCTTCTGCTTGTTACGATAAGGGCTAAACAGGGTCTGTGGGAACTTTAAAAACAGAAGTCAGCTTTAAAAAGTTAGTTTACCCAAAACAGAACCTTATTGTTTTCAAACCCTAATATCATTCCAAACCCATATGATCTTCTTTCTTCCATGATGGAACACAAAAGCAGGGTAGAAAAGAGCAAGCTGGGCTATATAAATCTTTCTGTGTACCATGCAAGTAAAAGCCATGGGGTTTGAACGACATGAGAGAGTAAATTATGTCAATTTAAATGGGTGAACTATCCCTTTAAAGACAAACAGTAAGCCTTTCAAGGAAACAAAAGGCCAAGTGAAAGGGGAAACATTCAGCAATGTTGTCATTGTCAACTAGCGCTGGATAGCCTACCTGAGGTAATGTGTTACACTATGCTAAACTGCATAATATCTCATTGTGAATACTTCATCGTTTATTCACAGGATACGACCGATTGCTTTCCGTATCCATCTTTTTTAACAAATCCTTGAAAAGGGGGTTTGACTTGTCAAACAGTGGAGGATTCTTTTTTTTTTTACCTCGACGATTAACTTCTCTCTCTGCAATGCCATTTTAAATGTGCGAGACCTTTAAATTAGAATGGATTCTGATTGGTTGTCAGTGTTTTATCGTTGGACAGCTGGAAAAAAATCATTCTGAAAGTGATTCCAACGATATCGTTCCTCATATCTTTATTGTTATAGCTGTGGTGTGAACTCTGTTATTCTTAAATATGGAAAACGATTTTTAGAATTACATCTTTATAGTTATCGTGCTTGGTGTGAACGGGCCTTAGCACTCCCCCTTGTCAGGTCACTTGATTGTAACACTAGGAAACGTTAAATAAAAAAGAGAGGTTACTTAAAAGCCAAAAATACGTTTTTGACACTGATTGATCACCTTCTTTGGTTCAGGGGTCTTTTGAAAAACATTATTGAACATTCCTCAGTCCTAAACAAACATCCTTTTCACATTAATAAAATCACAAAGACATTTCAGTAGGAAGTTGGAACTACATTATTTTATTATCTAGCTTTTGAAGAGAACACAAATGTTAGGTTAGAATATCTAACATTACAATAATTAAAACACAATAATGTCATAAAGCAAAAAAAAAAAAAAACTGCCATGTTTCCCATTATTCCTGCAAAATAATAAAAGCAAACCATTTAAAACTGAACTTAAACAGTCACTGAAAAACACACCGGACTAACATCTCTGGCATCTTTTCTTTTGTGACTCATTAGATTCCAGAGATATTCAAAAATCAACAGACGCAGTTGCAGTAAGCTGGAGGAAGAGCAACAAAGTTCTCCTAATTTAAAACTAGTTTTATTAAATTAAAGCGTCCTGCAGAGAGAGCAGCGGCTGTTTTTTTTCCATTAGAGATCCAAGAGTCCTCTGCCAACCTAAAGACAACCTTACATCTTGCCATTACACACTTGCATTCATATAAACTTTACAATAATACATCCGGCCATGCGCTACGTGATCAAATTTTACATGAGTTTTAAAAAAAAGTGCATTGTGCATATCTATAAAAAGCATTTGTTGCCAAATGATAAAATTTGCACTAAGCTAGCAAGATATTCTTATCTCTCTGATAGCACAAATACAAAAAAAAAAATAATAATAATTCACAAGCAAGAAAGATAGCCTAAGCCTTGATCAGTCTAGTGATTATTCTACTTTTTAAAAACAAATCTGTAACCATTGCAAATTCATAACTTTAAAAAGATTGGGAATCTTTTAAAGGAGAAAATAAAATAATATGCACACGTTTCAAGATCAAATGAATGATTTTTTTTTTTTTTAGGAAAGATATTTTATTAACTATTAATTTAGCTGACGCTTTTATCCAAAGCGACTTACAATTGCTATATATGTCAGAGGTCGTACGCCTCTGGACTGGAGCAACTAGGGGTTAAGTGTCTTGCTCAGGGACACATTGGTGTCTCACAGTGGATTCGAATCCGGGTCTCTCACACCAATGCAAAGGCATGTGTCTTATCCACTGCGCCATCACCTCGTCCCATGTATGATAAAAGATAGGCTATATAAATCAATGTTAAATAAAATAATCTTCATACATTACATACATAAATTCATGAACAATTTAAATTGTTATAACTAAAATCTTCAACATCTCAAAAAAAATCACTAAAATCTAGCACATTAACAGAAATGAACAGAATTACTTGCTCTCTTCATTGACAAGTGTACTTCCCCATGATTAAACTGATCACTTTAATTCCACTTCTGTGACATTTCCGTTACAACCTCTGGCAAAGCCAGTGCAGAATTTGAAAATAAAAAAATGATGGCAATAAATACCTGCAGCACCAAGACCTAAACAATACTGCCAAAAGTTGCAGACATCTCCTTTTATGGCCAATTCAGTGCCCACAGCATGATCTTTTACTGTCTGCCAGTTTGGATTCGGAAAGAAGAGCTCTTAAACACATCACCGGAGCTCCAAAAAGGTAAATGTTAACATTACTAAACTTTTGATTAAGCGTTCACAGTTGAGTAGATCTACCACACAGTCATTTCATTTCTGGTTCCCAATAAAAAAATAAATAAATAAAAAACAGCCTTTCTCACACACTGCTGGTTGCTGTTAGAAAGTCAAACATCTAATCTAATCTAAGACTTGCCAAAATAATCAGCTGGGTTTGAGCTGAGTCAGCAAAAGAGTCTTTGTCTCTCTGGTTTCGCACTGACCTGACTATGAACTAAGCAACAAGGACGATCTAAAGTACAAAAGGAATTCATAATATCTTTATACCTTCTCAATAACATAATCACAACATTAAAATATGAAAATCTATGTTGAAATACTAAACATGCCTATAATAAACCTTTACTAATTGCATGTAAACAGCATGCATATCATGCAATGCATCAGACATCCGGATCAAATCAATAAAAAAACATTAGTGCCTAGGGCTGTCAAATGATTAATCGCATCCAAAATAAAAGTTTGTGTTTACATAATATATGGGGGTGCACTGTATATAATTGTTTTATATATATATAAATACACACACATGCTTGTATATAAGAAATATTTTCATGTATATACTGTATATAGATTTATATATAATTTATATTATATATAAATATAAATATTTTATATATAAATAATCTTTTTTTCTTAAATATACGTGCACGTGTGTGTATTAAATAATTATACACAGTGCACAAACTTTCATTTTGGATGAGATTAATCACGATTAATCGTTTGACAGTCCTATTAGTGCCCCACATATAACCAAGGTCATTCATAGGGTGAAAAAAAGGCCTTTGCCCAAAATAGAAATATGGGTCAGCAAGACAGAGGTCAGATTAAAGAGTCTCAGTCAAAGCCAAGTTGTACATTTATCTTATGAGTGGTCATGGGCAAACATCACTGCATTATGAGATTATCAGAAGCAAAGGTGATGAGGCAACACCAGTAACCTTCACTAAGGGGTTTAGTTCAGTATGGCCATACATATTTCTCCCTAAAAGACCAGAGGAATCATGCATGGAATGCAGCAGTCTAAATAAGCACAGCCATAATTCATTAAGATCATTCAACACATTTACATGAGAAGTGTGTTGTTTTTGTACATCTTTTGGTAACACTAGCCAACATACAGATGAGTTATTGTACATCTAAATAGTTAGTCCCACATGTCAAGTACACTGACTAACGAGTTATTTAATACTGTAAATTCAAGCTGTGAAACACAAAAGAGGTAAGGCATTTTGACAGACTCAAGTCACCATTCGCTTTCACTGTATGGAAAAGAAGCAATGTATGGGAATGGTGACTCAGCCTGTCATTCAGCCTAGACCTATTTTAGCTTTCCAGAAATAAACAAATATGTGTTTGCAACAACATGGAGATGAGTGGACCATTTTTATTTATGGGTGAACTATTACATGTTATAATAAAATGTTAACAAACGTTTGGTTCGCTGGAATGTATAACGTTACACGACGGACAGCTTTGAATTTTGTTATGAAACGAAACGCTAATCAATCGTTGAAAAACTTAGCCTAAATAATACATGACGACAGGATTTTCATCTTATTCTAATGTTGGTCACTGTGTCAAAAGATTTAACTATTTATATCCGTAGAGAATTTGATGCATACACGATCTGAACGATTCGCTCAGGAATCGGACTGAATTGGACCGAGCCGTAGAGGTTAACAACTCACTGATTCGAAGAGAGGAACAGATCTTTTCAAACATTTCTGATAGCTACGCAATGAACCGATAACTGATCTGACACTGTAACGTTAGAGAGCATATGTAACGTTAGTGAACCGATTAGACAGATGGGACAAAATGTATTGTTACTTTAACACCAGGTCCAGGCAGAATCGCTGAAATGTTGCAAATAAAATGTTCTGGGATTGGGAACGGATTTATGAGAACAGAGAAATGAATTACATGTGTCATGCAAATTACTTTGTTATGAGATGAACCATGAATGAATGACCTGAACCAAACTGAACTGGGTCACATGATTAAAAAAAAAAAAACATTAAACATAAATTATGGCATGTTTAAAAAAAGAATAATAACATAAAGGCAATTCAATCGGTTTTTGGACCGGTTCTTTGAAACGAACTGTTCAAAAGAACCGGTTCGGTGAGAAGAATCGGACTTTCCACCACCAGACAGTCAGCAAAGTATTCCTTTCTAAACAACAATCACCGCAGTCGATGCTTACCTTTATTTCATGGATCCTTACAATCAACAATGACACGCGTTTGCCTGTGCACGTCTCCAGAACTAATTTCAAAACGATGACATACTATTATTCCACGTGTCCGCCTTGAAGTCGTTTCCAAAATCCCACACCAGCGTAAAACATTTTTAACCGAAAGCCGCAGGTACTAGTTCAGTCCGCCTGGCTGTGTCCGTTCATACGTTCATACTGCAGCACCAGAAAGGCGCTAATGCGAGAGAAAAGGAGGATCCCACACCATTGAGTAGAGGGGGGAGGAAACAGATCCTACGGGATTTTTTTCCTAACGAATAAACAGGCACGTGAGAGATGATTATAGTCCGCAAGGCAATAAAGTATAACTGCGTTTACGTTGGATTTATTCCGCAGTGTTTCACTGAAGCGCACGGCGGTTAAGAAAGAACACAACTTGGCTCCACTCCCCCTACTTTTGGCAGCAATGGGCGGTACACTGCCAAGGTTTAATCTGATTGGTTTCCTCCATTTGACGTCACCAGGCAAGGTCGTTCACAGGTTTTGGGACTCCTCATTTTTATAATCTGTTCAGTGTTTTAAGAAGACCACATCTATTTCTTTATTTCTGTCGTTATTGACATCGACAAATTAAGATGAAATGATAAAAGGGTTATTTAAAAGAGAAATGGCATGCTATTAGAAAATATAATCTCTGAATTAATGGCCATATTATTGTTATTCATTATTTCATTATTTATTTATTTATTTATTTATTTATTTATTTATTTATTTATTTATTTATTTTAAGGTAAATGTGAACTAATATATATCACCATACTTCCCAATCATTAATTACAGCACATTAAGACAATTGTTTTGTAAAAGTGCAAGTATTGCCTGTATAGTGAGTGACTATTAATACACACTTTCATTTTTTTTTTTTTCATAATTTATATGATATGTTTTGAGACAGTTTGTTTTAAGAAGTTTCAAAGAGTTACAATTTTTTTAATAAAGTTAAAAAAATATTTAAGTAGGTTATCGTTTTTTTTATTAAGTATTTATTTTGTATTTATAGCCTACGTAAGCTCATGTATTAATACATAATGTATCATTATTGGGTGAAATTTGTGTCAGGTGACTCCGCGTGGGAGGGGCTTCCAAATCAAATTCTGCTTCAGGCCCCCAAAAGGCTCGGGCCAGCTCCGGCACAGCTAAACAGATATCTTTTGAATGTGATTTGAATGCTGTAGGAGCACATCTGATCTCTTCTGGAAGCTGGTTCCAGCTGCGGCTGGCATAATAGCTACAAGCAAACTCTCCATGCTTAGAGTGAACTCTTGGTATTTCTAGCTAATGTGATCCTGATGATTTGAGTGATCTGTTAGGTTTATCTTCAGTGAGCTTATTTGCAATATATTGAGGTCCTAGGCCATTGAATGATTTATATACCAGTAATAAAACTTTCAAATCAATCCTAAATGAAACTGGGAGCCAGTGTAAAGACATGAGGACTGGTGTTGTGATATCTTCATATGTTCTGGTCCTGCTCAGAATCCTGGCAGCGTTCTGTATGAGCTGCAATGGTCTTTTTGGGAAGACCTGCTAAATCGAACCCTAACCCTACTGGTGATAAAAGTATGCACAAGTTTCTCTAAGTCCTGATTGGAAAAAAAGCGTCTAATTCTTGCAATATTTTTCAGATGGTATAGGCTGATTTAGATATGACTACTGAAACTAAGGTCTGACTCTAGACTCTAGAGACACCAAGATTCCTGACTTGATTTTTAGTTGTTTGACCCTAGCGTCAAGTATGCATTCACCTTGAGAACTTCATCTTTGTTTCCAAATGCAATGACTTCAATTTTGTCTTTGTTTAACTGCAGAAAGTTGGCACATCCAACGGTTTACTCCATCAATGCATTGGCACAGGGAGTCAATGGGGCTGTAGTTGTTAGGTAATAGGGCTAAGAGCTTTGTGTTGTCTGCAGCTGTGGTTAGCAATTTGGTTCTTTCTCATTATTTGGCTCATTGGGAGCATATACTATTACAGGTTGAACAGGATTGGCGCAATAATTGAGCCTTGAGGGACTCCGCAAGTCATGGATGTCCATTCAGACTTCGCATAATAACCTCTCCCTTCTAGGTATGACCTGAACCATTTTAGGACTATCCCAGAAAGCCCACCCAGTTTTCCAGCCTGTCAAGATGTATTGTGATCGACAGTGTCAAATGCAGCACTGAGGTCGAGTAGTACCAACACGGATAATTTGCCTGTATCAGTATTTAAGCGAATATCGTTTATTATCTTTATGAGCGCTGTCTCTCTGTTGTGATGCGATCGGAAACCAGATTGAAAATTGTCAAAGTATCCATTCAAGCTTGTGTTCAGCTGATTGAAGACAACTTTTTTTTAATGGTCTTGCGAAAGGAAGATTTGATATCAGTCTATAGCCACTTTAGATTGCTCTTTTTCAGGAGGGGCTTGACAACAACTGCAGTTTTCAGGGTGTTTGGAAAACTCCTAAGTGAGGCATTTACCACTTCCAAGAGATCTGCTTCTAAACAGTTGAACACACTTTTGAAAAAAGATGCAACTCAAGGGTGTGCTGATCACCTTTCTGATGTTATTGATTTTCTCACTGAAGAAAGAAGCAAACTCACTGCACTTGCTGTCTGAGAGCATTTCTCTGGGAATCTGGCTTGAGGGTTTGTCAGTCTCTCTACAGTAGCAAAACGAGTGTGTGTGTTGTTTAAGTTGCTGTTTATAATATATGAGAAGAAAGTCTATCTAGCTTTGCCTACTTCCATATGAAAAGCATGGATGCTGAAGATGTTATAATGGACTACATGTTTTGTCTTTCGCCACTGCGCTCTGCTTTTCTGCATTGTCTCGTCATGTTTTACCAACACAGTCTCATGAAGATGCGTATCTATACCACGAGTGTCATTTCTCGTGGCATTTATACGCCAAAAGTGTTTTTTCCGTGTATATGGTACGCACTAAAAAACCCTGGGTTAGGTTTAGGGGGGAGGGGGGTGGGGAGTTCGTGTGTATTATACGCAAAAAAGTGCGTATAATATGTACGCGAAAATCGCGTGCCAAATACACGCAAAAACTGTTTTGGGCGTATAAATGCCACGAGAAATGACATTCGTGCCATAGATACGAACTTTCATGAGATCGGGCTGGTTTTGCACAGCTGTTGAGTTTCAAGGTGCTTTTTGTCTGCCCACTCTTCTTCCTGACGTTCACAGGAGCAATAACATCAATTACACTCATAACTTTTGAGTTAAAGAGATCAAGAAGATCAACAGTCAGCAGATATGCTTGGCCTTCATATAGTACACTAGTGTTCTCATTTAAGCATCTCTTCTTGACAGATACAAATCTAGCTTCAATTCAGTGCTGAAGTTTGACTTATGAAGTATAAAAAAAGTCTTGAAAACAAATTATTTTAAATGTGCCTTAGAAAAAAAAAAACATTGCTGGTGTGCATCTTGAGCAAAAACAATGGCTGATATGCCAGTGCAAGTTGCATTCATCAAACATGCAGTTTAGTCTGGGACTATGGTAGGCTTAAACCTTGTCTGTGAAACGGTGCAAATGTGTCATTCAGCAAAAAAAAGCTCTGTCTGGACAGCAGACAATGTTGTACTGTATGTGGCAATTTAAACAGCAGTGGTTATGGGTTCACTAAACCACTATGACCTCTGTGATTTTACCCAGTCTTTTAGAGTTATAAATGCAAGCTGGTTGAGAAAATTGAGTATCCCTTCATCCAACCAGTGTGGGGGGAAAAAAAGCAGATTGGTTCCTTGATCATTCTGTATGGTTTTTTAAAACCAACCAAATACAGGCCCAGAAAAGGCGAGGACATCTTATAAAAGTTGTATTTATTTTTCTGACAGACTTAAAGCAATTAAGTTAAGATCTGGAACTTTTAAAAAAAGACAATTGAATAAATAAACATTGCTGAAGTCTGTATGACTTGTTATTCTTCCACAAACAAAAAAAAAAAAAAAAAAAAAAAAAAAAGATAATTTTAGAAAAGGCAAGGAAAGACTGCTGGGAAATCATTGCTCCAAAGATGCAAACTGAAACTAATATGAACATGTTTTGTACTGAAATAAGCAATTGGTATCTATTATATATATATATATATATATATATATATATATATATATATATATATATATATTTATATTTATATAAAATCTGTCATGTAACCTTTCTATGTGATGGAGGAGAACATTGATTGCTCTTGAACATGATGCAAAGGGACAAACACAAGATAGCAAATGTAAAAATATCCACTTATCTGTTGATGTACAAACTGTTTGAGGTGTTTGTGGGTACATGATTGTATACCTTTAAATGGAAAGCACTGTTCCTGTCTTTGAGTGTTGAATAATACATCAGCTCCACAGCAACACTCACTGAACACCCACTTAAAGTGTGATTGCAGAACCTTAAAGGTGAAATGCGTAACTTTTTTAAATTACATCTGCTATTATGATTTGATAGATTTAGAGTAGGATTCAGGATTCAGTGCTATAAAATTCAGTAACATCTACCAGAACAGTAACAGAGCGTGCATATGAGCCAAAAGTTCTCCCCAAGGGTATGCGCCATAATGTGACTTTCTTAAGTTTTTTATGAGGTGCATAGATGCCAGTGCAGATGGTTTTAGTTTATCTCTCTATGTTGAGCAAGAGCATCAACCACAGCTTTAGCCTCCTTCTGTGTTATGCCACATTAGATCTGCCGTCCATCAAAACAAGCTGTTGTGGACATCTTTCTTCACCCATCTTCATATATATATATATATATATATATATATATGTTACGTTATATGTTATATTATAATTAATTAATAAATGCACACACACAATTTAACACAATGATTATTACTTTTTGTATAGTAATATATGGCTTTTAAAACAGTAATATTGCTTTTAAGTAATATAATAATTATATTAAAGTAATAGGATTACTATAAGTAAGTAATATATGGCTTTTAAAATAAATTATATAATTTGTTGAAAACTTCGTGGTCAGTATGTTTTGTTTATTAATGAATATAGAGTAAGGATACATTAAATTGATCAAAAGTGACTGTAGACCTTTTAATATAATATTAAAACAGGAGAAAACATTTTTCATTGTTTTTTACTGTATTTTTGATTAATAAATGCAGCCTTGGTGAGCATAAGATACTTATTTCAAAAACTTTTGAACAGTATTGTGTATATATACAACCATTTCACATCTCCATAATTTTTAAGTCCTATTCGCAAATCTGAAGAACTTCACCTTCAAATTTACCACTGAAAGAGATTTACAATCCCACTTAAAGGGATACTTCACCTCTGGAAAGATGAATGTGTATTTAAAATGGGTCATTTATTTAGAAGAAATGTGAAATTATTTTTGAATTTTGAGC